TGACTGCGCACAGCACACCTGCAGGGATGGACCATGCATGGTGCGCCCACAGGGACGGACCACGCATGGCACGCTCTCAAGGGTGGACCGTGCACAGCGTGCCCGCAGGGACGGACAGCGCACAGCACGCCTGCAGGGATGAACCATGCATGGTGCGCCCGCAGGGACGGACCACACACGGCACGCTCTCAAGGGTGGACCGTGCACAGCGCACCCGCAGGGACGGACTGCGCACAGCACGCCTGCAGGGATGAACCATGCATGGTGCGCCCGCAGGGACGGACCACACACGGCACGCTCTCAAGGGTGGACCGTGCACGGCGCTGCCTACCCCTCCAGGCACGGTGCATTCTGATCACTAGCAACATTGCTCAGACACCAGACAGCTGAAAAACAATAGTTTAACTTAAAAATATAAAGGGAATGGGGTTGATTTCTTTAAAGAAAGAAAAAAAAAATCCTTTTTCTTTTCAGAGTCCATCCATCAACAAAACTGCTCAGCAAGTTCAGGAGGGACAAACGAACCATTGGCCGAGAGCAGGAGTCTGCGGTGCACGAGCAAGAGGAAGTCCTCGTTACACAGCTGGTTAGATAACTTGTATGAATTCTCTTACTCGGAGCTAAATGGCTGCAGTTGAATTTGTCTCAGTTCCCCTTGGAAGCGAACGAGCAGGCCTGCAAAGAGCTTAAATATTTAATTGATTTTGCTACGCTATTAATTCAAACAATCTCTCCCTGCCACAGATAAACCGCAAATGAAAAATCGCACCCCAGTCTGCACCGGCTCTTCAGACACGTTTTACGACCGCTCCGCAGCGGACCAAGCACGTAAGGGAGCTCGACCAAGCCCCGGCCTGAACCGGGCACAAGGATGCGGTAAGACTGCTGCTTCCCACAAAGCAAAGAGCTTTTACCAACGACCTTGGCTTCGGAAGAAGCAAACAGCAGGGAAGGTGTCACGTCCCGCTGAAACAGTCCATGCCTCCCGCGTTATCTCACCACCTCCTGAGCGCGGTCAAGTCTCAACGGCATTTAACAGGGGAAAAGAGAAACAAAGCAGCTACTATAACACCCCCGCTCAGGCAGGTCGGAAGAAAGGGCCGCGCTCCCGGAAGGTCGCCTGCTCCTTCCGAGCGCCCCGGCCAGATAGGAGACGAAACCCGCAGGATGGCGCGCGGCGCCGGAAGGGAGCAGCGCTCCTTGCCGGCGGC